AATCAGACGGACAGAATTCCTGATGCCCAAGTCAAACGTTGGCAAACACCGATGTTTGATTTGGGCATCATCAACAAACAACGCCACATCTCTCTCCAACCACCATCATCACCGACGCCTACACACCACATCGCCAACGTCCACCACCACGCACACCAGCCACAACGATGAGACAACGACGACGGCCACAACGTGGCAAACGACGCCTCAACGCCACATCAACAACCCTAGTAAACAAGCACGGCAACACGTTGCCACGTCGCTGGTAGCGACGTGGCAACCAGACGACGAACGACGATTTCGTCGTTCGTTGTCCTAGGTGAGCACCCCCCCCAAACTCATCCCAACCCAGCTCGCTAACACCACGCCCACAACGAGGGACGGACAGCACGTCAGCGCCCCACCACATCAACGGAGGGCCACGCCAACAGACGACCCACACACCACCAGGTCAACAGACCGCCACCACATCAACAGATGACACCCACGTCAACGGACGACGCCCACATCAACGGACGACGACGACGACGATGACGACGTCAGCAGACAATGAGCACATAAGCGGACGACGACGACGACGTCAGCAGACAACGCCCACATCAACGGACGATGACGACGACGTCAGCGGACGACGGTGTGGAAGTGCGACTTGTTTCATTCACGACGCACTCCATATTTCATTTTTCTCCCTACGTACATTTTTATCAGTTTTATTTTATTTTACGAACCTTCGCCGGGTTTGAAACTGAACGAGTATTAGGGAGACTTTGATTTGACAAGACGTATGACATCATCATTTGGCTTTGTTCGCGCTGCACCTCTCGTGAAGGATTCGGACTTGGACGCTTGCATTATTTTTTGTACATTTTTATTTTGAATTGATCACTACTCCCTTCCGCTTTTATTTCTTTGTACTTATGACAGATCTCACCGACCCGAAGCTCAATCTGAGGGCCAGACGGTAGGGTAGAGCATCAACGCTTGGGATGTCCGCACTGAAGGCGGCAGTTGCGCACGTAAATAGACCTCTCCAAGTGTCCTACGTTCCCCGAGTCATGCCTGGTTCGAAGGTTTTGCCTAGGAATCGAGTGGGTGATGTCACTTCTATTTTTGTACTTTTTTTGTTCCTCTTCGAACATTTTGACGTTCTTCCCCAAAGAATTGGTCTGGCAGCATGAGAGTACGTGCGTTGCCTTGTGATTTTCTATTTTTGTACTGTTTATAAGGTGTCCTCCCACCTGTCGAATGGAGTCGTCTTCTTTCCCCCTCTTTCATAGTCGGATTCTTAAGTCGTCCACTCGTCTCCTCAAGAAATTCAAAAGTTTACATGACATTTCTACAAGTCATCTTCAAGTTCTCTAAGTTATACGTTCGAGTCGTATCAAGTAATTACAAGTGTTTTGATTCGACGTGTCCCAAACACGTGTTAAGCTGAGTTGCCTTTCTTTTCTTTGAATACAGAACATCAGGCACTGCCTTCAGGGTCCACTTCAGGGTCCATCCCAAAAGGGAAATATCACCTGGTTTGACTAAAAAGTGAAGAAAACCAAGAGGAGAATGACTTTACCTATCAGGGTCCATGTAAGAGGATGTTGGGATGATGGTCACATGACCAATTACCAAAAATGGTCAAAAAGCGAAAGTTGTAGCCCTATACTGTAGCTTCCCAAATCTGTTTGAATTATGTTCTGAAGTGCTCCTGTTGTGGAGATATGAGGTAAAGGAATTTCAAAAGTGTTGTGTTTTTTTTTTGTTTTTTTGTGTTTTTCTTGATGAAAACAAAACCAAATAACATGATTTCAGTATATTTAGAAAGCTAAAAGAAAGGGCTACAATTATTGTATCGTGGGAAAAATGACCAAAAAAGGAAGTACTATAAGACTCAGATATAGACTACCAAGTTTACTGATAGACTACAAAAAAGTCGGACTTAGACTACACAGTTTACTGATAGACTATAAAA